GTTCCGAAGGCGTACGCGAAGTAGTCACCAGCCCGCGCCTGGCCTGGGCCCACGAGCAGTAAAAAAACCGCCAGCCCTCCTCAGTTTCTCCCACCTCCTCCTCATCCCCCTTCTCCCCCTCCTCCTCCTCCTGCTGCTCCTCCTCCTCCTCCTCCTCCTCTTCCTCCTCCCTCCCTCCCTCCCTCCCTCCCTCCCTCCCTCCCTCCTCCCTCCTCCCTCCCGCCCTCCCTCCCTCCCTCCCCTCCTCCTCCCTCCTCCTCCTCCTCCTCCTCCTCCTCCTCCTCCTCCTCCTCCTCCTCCTCCTCCTCCTCCTCCTCCTCCTCCTCCTCCTCCTCCTCCTCCTCCTCCTCCTGGTTTGGCCACGGAGGCACATAACATCAGTGTCGTTACGAGTTGCGCGCTGAGTTCTGACATCGAGTGGGTCGTACAGCCTTGAGAGGCAGCGGCTCTCTGGTCGCGCGCAGGATCGTTCCAGACCGCTGGCGACGTTCAACATTGAACGCTGGCGCGGAGGTCGCAGCCGTGCCCACACCGAACTGCAATAGCTACACAATTCCTGGGTCAAAGATTGGCACGGCCAGGACCGGCGTGGTGAATAATTGGCGCCCGCCGAGTTCCTTGGAGAGTGTTGGGCCACGTGCGAGAGTGAGCGGTCTGAGCCAAAGCTAGGGTCAACATGGCAGAAGGGAGATGCGGCAAGACGGGGAAGATAAGGATGATCAGGAGAGGAAGGGATCCGGCGGAGAAGCAAAAGCGAGGCGTCCGATCGCGGTGACGTCAGTGGCATTTACGCATCGCTATTGTACCACAGGCTGGGGAATGTTTCCCCCACCGCCACACCAGAAACCACCCGAGCAAAACCCAGAAACAAGCGTGCACCTCTTCACCCCGGCCAAATTGATACTGCTGCGCCACCCCCCCGCAAGCAGCCTCCCTGCAGAGTGCTGAAGGTCATCTTTTCTCCGCTCAACTCCTGGAAACAGATATGGAGCCTATGCTGGGGCGCCTCGCCCTGGACATCTTCGGAATGCGCCTGGAGTTTGGGCCAGGGCTTGGCTTCGCTTGGCACAGCGCCCCGCCCGAGAATCGTCAGAATTAGCCTCGTGTGGTCCCTGGCTTGGCATGCGCTCGCGACGCCCCCATCGATGTCCCTGGTTTGGTTTGGTTGGGGCTCGGTGTCGCCTGCCACGTCCACACGTGTGCACTGTTTTGGCTTGGCTTGAGCGCAATTTCGCCTCACAGTGCCTTGCGATTTGCCTGGTTGGGCCTGGTTTGTGCACGGGCTCGCCTGAGAAATCCTCGCGATTTGCCCGGTTTGGCGTAGTTTGGGCGCGGTCTCGCTTGAAACATCCTCACATCTTGCTTGATGTGTCATTAGTCGGGCTGGGCTTCGCGTGGTGCAAGCTGCGTCGAGAAGCTGAGCTGTGTAAGCGGTGCAAACACATCTGCATCGCCTCACCGTCGCTATCACGTGACCGTCTGCAAGCCAGGGGTGGTCCGTGGACTGGCGTGATGGGAAAAAACGCGCGACACTGAAGATGGCTGTTTCTTTCAAGCCTGGAAACCTTGAAGCGAATCGTATCACAAACTCCTTCGTCGGATTCGTGCGCCGACACCTCCAAAACTTTGAGAAGCGGAAGTGGGATACAGGAAACAGATGATTGACAGGACGAGGGAGGATGGAGCACGGATGAATCCGCTGAGATTCGTTGATGCGCATGGCGGGGGGGAGAGGGGTGCACGGGGGAAGAGGGCTGAACCTGACCCGCCTGGACCCGCCGACCGCGCTGCTCTTCCCGCCGCTCGCCTCCACAAAGGTCCAGGGTTGGAGGTGGCAGGGGGGTCCGATCAGGTTGGGGCCCACATTCAAAACTGGCCTGCACTGTTCTGGACTGAACTGGGGCTCTGAATTGGTCTGAACTGGCTGGGGCTTCCAAGGGTCAATTTGGGGAACATTTCCACCCGGATCAAAATTTGGCCCAATCGGCTGACAACGGTTCCCACAGGCCGAACACGGCAGCAAAAACTTCCCGAGCCCAGAAGCCTAGAACCTGCCTCACCTTCCTGCTGGCCGGAACCAGTGCTGGGAGGGCGTCTTCTCTAGACTCAAGCAAGTTGACGTGCGTGCCCCCCCCACCCCAACCCTCCCTGCCGCCCTTTGAAGCAACACTGGGCCGAAACGGCGTGCAAGTGAGCCCTGGCCTTTGCGGGCCTCGCCACGCCCCCCCTCCACCCCCCATGCATGTGAACTTTCCAGAATATCCATCTCTCTCTCTCTCTCTCTCTCTATATATATACACCTATAGGACCACCCTGCGGGTGATAAGGAGGTTGGGGGGGGGCAGCAATGAGCAAAAATGACGATGGTTGATCTGACGATGCCTGTGGGGCGGAGTCTAGTGAGCAGTGTGGTTGTGCACACGAGCGTGATGGGATGTGGCGATGTTGGCGAAGCGCACTCGACATTGTCGTGAAACGCTGTCCCCGCGTGCGCTTATCAATCGCGCGAACCTAACCTAAAACGGGGCTAGGATCGGGATAAATCGCTCCAGAGCGTTCCGGAGCGCTCTCAGAGCGTTCCGGAACGCTCTGGAGCGGCCGCGGCGCCCAATACATCCTCCAAACCCGCCGATTCTTAGAGATTTCGAGTTATCCCGATCCGATTTTATCCAGATTTTCGCGTCGTTTTATCACCTCAGCGCTAGTCGACGTGGTCCTACGTGCGCGCTGCGGTGCCACAGTGACTGCTCGCGGCGCCACCCGATGCTGCCTTGGTTGCAGGCCCGGCGCTCGAGGCACGAACAAAGCTTGGTGCCAGCGGCGCCTTCGTGTGGGTGGCAGCATCTCCTGACGGCGCTGGGGGTCCCACGTCAACACCTGACGCTCTGGCAAAGCCTGGTGCTCGCACGCCCTCGGGCGGCGCGTTTTCCACTGCGGGCACGTCGTCCACTGCCGGCTGCCGTGCCCCGTGTGCCCATGTGATGGCCATTCCTGTCTTGGCCTTGGAGTTTCATGTGAACTCGGGGTGGCTCTCGATGAAAACTCCCACCAGGCGCCAAGAGCTTGTTGAACTTCTCGTACACATGCTCGTCCTCCAGCTGGGAGGATTTCGGGACACCAGCGGGATACCGGCGGGGCACCGCGGGCCACCGGCCGCCGGAGGAGAAACATTTGGTCCGGCCGCGGCCCAGCCAAAAGAGGATTTCGGGGCACCAGCGGGACACCGGCGGGACATCGCGGGCCACTGGCCGCCGATGGCGAAACATTTGGTCCGGCCGCGGCCTAGCCACAGGAGGATTTCCTATCGCCCGCCCACGCAGCTTCGCCTCGCCCGCACGCGCGCACGGCACGCGCGACACGAAACCGAAACCGAAATCGATTTCCCGGTAGGGGGGGTCTCCGTTTCACGTCGGACTCACCCCCCAACCTCCGATCGATAGATAAATAAGAAAAACAAAAATCAAAAATGTCACCCTCCCGAACCCAGAACCTCGAACCCGCCCGCCCCGTAACTGCTGGCCAGAAACAGCGGTGCGCCGCCTCAGACCCCCAGCCGACTGGCTCCGAGCCCCGGGTGGACGCCCCGTCGACGCTCGGCCGTCGGCACAGCGATGCCTCATCGAACGAGACCCCCGTCGTCGAGCGTCTCCCCGCACACCGCGGCCCTGCGCGCACGGCGCCACCGCACAGGGACCTCCTTCATGAAGTGGATAGTGGAGGACGTCCAGGTTGTGGAGTTTCAGCCTACGTTAGCCTGAACCACCAGAAATGATTTCGAGCACCAGGAAGGTACCGAAACTGGAGGGCGTTCACGCGTCGGGCTCTCGGAGGAGATACTCGTTCGACACTGTTTCGACACTTTTCTGGGCGCTCGAAATTCTTTCTGGGGGTGTGATCCTTAAGTACGATGCGAGCAACATAACGTCCAAGGTGAAAAGGCGAGGGAGGAGAGGACGATGAGCACCGAGGAAAGCAAGGGAAAAGGACGCGTCGGGCCCGGGAACTGGTCGTGGTGATAAGGAAAGCTCACGGAAGCGTCTGGTCGTCCCCATGGCGTCCGATGTCGCGACCAATAGCGCGCAAAGCGGAGGTACATCATCTCTCTCACATGTCGGGCGTCGGCAGAACTGGGTTTAGTGGGACCTGGTTTAATGATGTGCACTGGGGGACGCCCCCCCCCGCCCCGTTCCACTAACCGGAACTGCCGTAGCTGCTACGGCAGACCTGGTTTAATGATCCTGGCGAATTTAGGTTAGGGGCTCCGGGGCCCTGATACTAACAAGGTCCCCTTAACTCGGGTCCTGGCTATACCCGAATATGGCGCCATTTAATGCTAGTGGGCGCCATTCGGGTACTCTACGGTGCTGTATGTGAGCACTCTTCGGCGCTACTGGGCACTATGGGGCGCTATGTGGGGCGGCTGGGCGCGAGTGGACGCTATAGTGGCCGATTTATATTGTGAAATGCAACAAAAAATGAAGGCCTCCGTGGCAGGCTGTCCCAAAAATGGAGGAGGCCCAAAGGGAAACGGCGAGTGAGGAGGAGGACGAGGAGGAGGAGGATAAGGAGGAGGAGGCGGAGGAGGAGGAGGGCGAGGAGGCGGAGGAGGAGGAGGAGGAGATGACGAGGAGCACCAATGGAGGACCAGAGGGGAGGCGTGAGGCCCCAGGCGTTCGGCCCTGCTCCCCGCCGTCGCCGGCCCGAGGTTTGGCAGGCGAAGGGGTGGGGGGGGAGGCAGGAGGGCAGGGAGGGGAGACAGGACGGGGAGGAGGCCGAGGAGGGGAGAAGAAGGGCAATCGAGGGATGAATAAAAACGCGCCTACCCTGGGTTACAAGTGCGTGGTCTGTAAACCCTCCGCGAGCCCCCAAAAACCAGAGAGCTGCCAGGAAGCCGCGCCACACGCGCGATACGCAGGGTTTATCATGTCAGCCCACAGGAGGTTCACGCACAGCGCGTCGTAAACCAGGATAGGGGCGTTTCTGGAGCCCTTGAGGCAAGGGCGAGGCGGAGAGGCGGGAGGGAAGCTCGAACTCGAGCTCGATGGCGGCTCATCGTCAGCCGGCCAGGAGGGGGGGAGGGCGAGGACAGGACGACGAGGAAGCGGTATGAAATCTCGGCGCGGCACGGGAGCACACGCGGCGGCCCGCGGCAAGCGCGCGCGCGCTACGCAGCCACGGCGACCACCGCGGCGCGCACCACGCGGTCCTCCAGCAGCCAGCCGGACCGCAGCTCCTCGCACGCGCCCCCTCTCCGCCCCCGGCTGCTCTCCGACGGCCCCCCCCCCCCCGGGGACCCGAGACCCCTCTCCACCGTGACGACCGGCCGCAGACGACTTGCACGTCTGGAGCGGCCCGCGCGCCAGCGCTCCAGAGGCACTCGGGAAGAAGGCGTGCTACTTTGGCGGCGCGCAGGAGGGGGTGACGGGGGAGGGGGGAGGCTTCTTAGAAGCAGGCTGCTTCTTGGAAGGCGCAGGCCCCGTATCTACAGATAAGGCCCGCGCCTTCTAAGAAGCAGGGGTGCTTCTAAGAAGCCTTCCCGCCTCCCCCTGCCCCCCTCTGCGCGTGGCCGACTACTACAAGGGACGCCGAAGGAGTAACGACGGGGATACGGTCTACTCTGTCCGCGGCGATGCTCGGCCTCGGAAAGGCTCCCCGAACTAGCTCTGAGAGAGAACACGTTTCGTAGGCGCCTTCTCGGAACATGTCCTCTGGACACGTCGGAAAATGCCCCGCCCCCTTCCCCCTAAAACCCGTGAAGCGCTAGGAGAACCGGTCGGGTGTCTTCAGAAGGGCGGCGAAGCAACAGTAGAGGAAGAAACAACGCCATAAACATAAACATTTGCATCCGCGACGGACCCCCAAGAAATCTGCGCGGATCGCCAACAGTTTATGTATATTGCGTCTTTTCTTCTTCGAAGACGAGGGGGGTGCGTCAAAACACTGAGGCGGAACAAAACATGAAAACAGCGGAACAGTGGCATAGCGACCGCGTGCACTGCGAGGCCACTGGGCTGATCCAATCGAGCAAAATGAGGATGAAGACAGACCAACAAAATATAGACCCTCTGCTCGACACTTACGCACGGCCAAGCCGGGTCAGTGATATGCCCACACCTCGACTCCCCAAAGATTAGTGGACTGGGGTCGCAGGATCATGAACACGGGGTTCCTCTTTCAAATTGTTTTGCTTCCCTGAGGTATTCCTCGGAATCATAACAAGTCTTGCTTTTCTGTCTTAAATCGGCAGCGCTCGCAGGTAATCACGAACGTTGAGCTGTCGGCAGTTCAGATTCCCGCAAATCTCGTCTCGACTGGGCGCCTGGCTGGTGGGATCTCGCAAGGGACAAGAACCCGAAACGAAACCTACCGTCAAAACGATGTTGCCACCAGCTGGTCGACCGTCAGAATCGAGGGGGCTCCCGCCGAAGACATTGCAACGAGCTGGGGACTTTCAGAATGCCCAGGGAACCCTCAAGAAACGACTGGGGGACCGCCAGAATGCCCCGGGAGCCCCGCCAGAGCGAGCACTGGCGTGCTTGGGACTCCCGCTGCTCTGGAGGTCCCCTGCCGGTGAAAAGGCCCGCTCGAGGAGGGGGGGGTGGACGCGAGCCTCGGCGCCCCCCCCCTTTCCTTCACCCTCGGCGGCCCTCGGCGGCCCTCGGCGGCCCTCGACGGCCCTCGGCTGCTCTCCGGCGGCCCTCGGCGGCCCTCGGCGGCTCCCGGCGGCCCGCGGCCTCCACCCCGCACCTCCACCCGCCGCCCCCCGCTCCTCCGTTTCTCGTTCGTCCGTCCTCCCGTCCTCCCTCACCCCGTCCTCCTGCACCCCGTCCTCCTCGTCGGTGGTCGTCGCTCCCTCCCTGCCCTTTCGCCCTCCCTGGTCCATGGGTCGCCCCTCCCTTTTCCCTCGCTTCGTGGGCTGGGAGGCAGGGGGGGGGGAAGTCGCGCTGCTGATCTGCAGCACTCCCTTGAGGCTGGACGCCGATTCGGCTCCAGCCAGTGGCTGCGACGACCCCTGGGCGCCAGCAGCTCAGGCGGCCGAGGCGCCGGCCGAGCGCCGACCCGACAAAACCATGCCTTTGATATCATACGGACCCCCCTTGGGCAGAACCATCCCCGAACCGGCCCTCCCCCCGCGGCACCGGCTTCTATAACCTGCCCGCCCCCCACCGTGCGACCCGCTGCGATTACAGCAGCGCTGTCTTGAGAGATCTTCTGGTGATTGGCGCGCTATGGTTCATCAGTTGACTCACCGTACTTGCCCTCGTCAGTTCATTCACCATCAGTTGATTCATCAGTTGATTCTGAATGACTTCATGGATATCCTTCTCATCGTTCCCTTAGTCCTTCTGCTATCCTATCATCGTTCTGCAACCTCATCGCATTATGCCCCCTTCCTGTTCCTCCTGCTCTTCCCTGTTCTTCTCGGCATCGCTTGAATTGTCTCCTGGGTTCTCCTCGCCTCCGTACATCGGCAATTCCGAAACTTGCAAGCTCGAAATCAACACCGGAACTGCCTGACCACCCACTACGGAGCACTTCCACGAAATCCTCGCCGACCAGGGGATGCAATTCTGGAGGTGGCTCGAAGAACAGAGCAGATGCCATACGGGCTGTCGCGTCCTGTGGCTGCGGGCTGGCCAGGGTGATGCGCCTCGGTTCCAAACAGGGCCTCTTTGGGCCATTCCCGTACAATCGCACACGATTCCACTTGATCTGTGTCAGTTTCTCTCGCTCGGCGCCACAAAGATCTCCTACCTTCACGACAACGAGCGTGAAATACGAAGATCGAGACGCTACCGTCCAAGTGTGCCCGTCTGGAGACATCTGGACCAACAAGCAGCAACAGGCCCACGATTGGATCTAGCTCGCAAGAGCGACTGCGTGTCCACAAACGTAGCATATCTGTAGACCCGATGCTACCATCACTGCTTCTGACCATAAATTGTTCGAGCATGTTCTGAGTGGGCGGGTAAGCCATTTCCCATGTTCGCGGGTCCACCAAGTGGAGATGGGAGATCCCGACAAAAGTCAGATTTTTTGGAGCTCCACGCTCTCACCTCCACACAGGGACAGAGCCCTGACCAGACCGCCTGCAACGGACAGGGGTGCAGGCGCGGCAACAGGAGAGCTAGTCGGAATCGACCAGCTCAGCAGCAGGAGGAGTCACAAGAGTCGCCTCATCCTCCTCAGTCGTGAGAGCAAGCCGCACTTGCCGAAGCAAATCCCTCTGAGACCGAACGTCACTCTGAGATGAGCTGGCAGGGGCCTGTGCAAACGGCACAGAAGTCTCCGACTGGTAAAGGAAACGAGCCGCCTCTTCCTCCGCAGTGAAAACAGAATCGTCGCGGCGGAGCGCACTGCCCACATCTCCATGACCAGTACCTGGTAACGGAGAGGTGACCACCTCGCTCAAGCGCGAAGCAATCGGGGCGACAGCGAGCGCACTGACACCTTCCCCCTGGCCCGAGAAGGGCAAGGAAGAGGAGGCCGCCTCGTTCCGCCGCGCAGCAGCGACACACAGGACAGGCGGCTCCTCAGCCGACGCAACTAGACCGCTCGAGCTGGATGCCTGCACAGGCACCTCCGAAACTCCATCGGCGAGAGCAGCGAGGGAAGCAGCAGAGTTAAAACACTAAATCAGGCCTTCAGTGTCCACCTTAACGCCAGAAATCCTCAGTTGATACCTGGGGTGGAGGCCTTTGCACAACTATTCCCTACCCTGCTTGCACGCACGCGAAGGGAGCGAAACACACTGTTTACCGAGTCCACGAATATGGCCCCCGCAGGTAAGGCACTTACATCTAAGACAAATGAAGAGCACAGAATTGTCCGAGCACGGAAAGGCCACCGTTCGATGGTTTAAGGCGTCCTGAGAGTCGGCGTGGACTAAAGGGAACCGAGAGCAAGAACCTGGAACTGGCTTCGAACAAGAACGGTTCCCCCTCAAACAGCGAGCGCACCTCCAGATTCCGCCCCGCGACCTCCAGTCGTGTCCAGGCACCTCCTTCTTCGGACTCTTCGCCTCAGGGAGTCTGCAGACCCCATCTAGGACCACAGGAGGCCACAGAGGGAGCACATGCACAGCAGCTTTCAAGGTGGCCCTCGCCAAGTTCACAAGGCGATCGGCCTCCTGCAAGAGAGAATCATCCGTGGGGTGAAGGCGGACCGCATGCTTGGCACCCACGTCGGCGTGGTGGTTGCCAAGGCGGCGCCACCGCTCCTCAGCAGAAATCCCAGGCGCGTCCAGGTCAAGGTGGGCCGCCACCTTGGAACAGGCCGCAATCCCCGAAACCTGACCGTGCACCTGAAGAAAAACCCCTGGATACATACGCTTAGGAGAGAGCTGCAGCTGCTTGTCAAGCGCAACAGTCTGGACCACAGTACTGCAATCTGAATACACATGGCATTCAGAAGGATGGGTCGAAATCACATTGGCCCAGGTGAACGCACTGAACTCAGCACTCTGAGGAGTCTGAGGGTAAGGGCCCCAAACAGGGGCCCTCCGCTCGGCCACAAGACCACCCGAATTGTCGACCATGCAGACGGAAGAGCCAGCCCTAGACAGCTCCTTGACAGTATGACGGGAGCATGAGCCGTCCACAAAAAGGGGCCCCCAAACTCTATTGCTGACAGGGGCTCCGTCAGGGCCCGTCTCAGGCATCTTATGCCAGATCAGGGTCGGACCCTCGTCTTGGTCGTCGGACGTACGAGGGAAGGAGTCGGCGGGGTGCCGAAAGGCACCAGATATAAAGACAAAAAGCTCGTCATCATCTCCAGACGCCTTAGCAGACAGGGCGGCATCAATCACCTCACTGTCAGTAGCCTCAAGCCGAGCGGCAGCAGCCTCAGGAAAAGGGCATTCCCACAACCGATGAAAGATGGTGTCGTTAGCCCCGCAATGAACACAGCACGGATCGACATCGTACCCAAGGAACCTGGCACGAGCATGAGTCATGATGGCCTCCGTGGGGAAGGCTCTGATCCCGGCCTTCTGAAGGGCCGTATAACGCTTGCTACGAGGAGCGATAGATATCTTAACGACGTCATAACACAGACGATGGGAAATACCCCGGCTGGCAGCAGCATCTCTTTCCAACATCCTAAGGTATCCCGCTCGGACCAGGGACCCAACAAGAGCAGGCGAGAAAATCCCACGGGGGGTGGACTTCCCGAAATCGCCGACCAAGGTCATGAAGTTAGACATACTCCACCCTTATATCACAAGAGACATCC